CTGGACCGACAGAGATTCGAGCATTCTTATCGAGCGCTGTTTGCTGGTACCTCTCTCGATGCCGATGAACGAATCTTTGTGAGCATCCTCAACATCATATTCGCACTTTCCACGCAGTTGATCGAGTCACTGCCTCCGGATCAGAGGGACTCCTCCAGCCAGGAATACTTCACTCGCGCACAGAACTTACTACAGCTGAGCCTTTGGGACACTGGCTCCATCGAGCTCATTCAGTGTCTGTTGATTATGAGTCAGTACCTCCAAAGTACAAATAATCCTCACCAGACGTGGATGATTGTCGGGTCTGCCGTGAGAATCGCTCAGGGCCTTGGCCTACATCTGCCAGAGACGGCATCAGAGCTCTCGAATGAGCCCGAAAGGGATCTCGTGAAGAGGATTTGGCATGGATGTATTTTGATGGATCGGTGAGTGTCATTTCGACACCAGGCTGCATTTCCATGGCATCTCTAATTTGACGACCAGAATGATTGCCATCACACATGGCCGTCCGGCAATGATCTCGGATCAGCTAGCCCTAAGCGTGGTACTGCCTTCAATCCCGGATACCGACGTCACCTCCGTCGATGGGGTGCAGCTTGGTGCCGTTCAACTTCACAAGCTTCGGTACCAGGCCTTTTTCCATAAGTCGCTCGAGCTCTACGAGGTCATCAACCACGCAGTCCTCGCGTTTTACTCATCAACATCGCCGCTTAAGTCGCCTACCTACCCCAACGGAAGTGGAAGCAAGACTCAGCGCTCCTTGGATAGACCAGAGCTAGATCTTGGGAAAGCCCTACAGCTTGATCAGCGCTTGACGAAATGGGAGAAGAGCTTGCCCAGCTTCTTGACCATGGCCGAGCCTGAGACTACTCTGGATGAGGTCTTCCGCAGACAGGCGGTAATCCTGCGTATCAGGTAAGTACTTGCAACTCGAGTTGGCTTATAGTCAACCTGACCATCCCTTGAGCCACGACTGACAGCTTATAGGCTCCTTCATGCACGCATGCTACTCCTCAGGCCCATGCTCACTCGATTCTGCCTTTCTCAGTGTCCCGAAACTTCCCAGGTCCACGATGACCTCTCATCTCGCGTCGTTCAGCAGTGCGCCATGGTCTGCGTAGAAGCCGCGCAGAGTCTCATCTCCTTCATCGTGCAATTCCAACAACACGACGGCACCCTCGGCCTACTCCCAGCCTGGTGGTACCGTGTCTTCTACATCTACACAGCTGCAACTGTTCTCATAGCAGCAAGACTACGACCCGCGGTCTTTTCTTCGCTCGACATCTCCCGCTCATGGAATCAGGCTATGGCTCTGCTTCACGACCACGAGAACCTAGGGCCTTCTCCGCGAAGATGTGCCGCGGCTCTTCAGATCCTCTCAACCAAGATGTTCCAAGATCAGCAACCTCAGCCAGCTGCCCTTCCAAGTTCGGATACCAATGCAGCGGTGCCCAACATCACCAACGAGCAGCAGGAGACCTTTGATATGCCTTTCCCCTACTTGGCGCAGGATGCAGCGTTCGACATGGACGCAATCACGTTTGACATCAATGACTTCTCTTGGCTTAACAGTATGCCTGGGAGTTTATAACTAGCAGTCATCAGCCCCCATCATGTACATTCATCTCCAAAATACCCGGCCTCCGTGCCTTTCATGCTTGCTCGAACTCCCGATGTTTAATAGTTCATCTGTGATTACTTTCTACTCAAACACCATCTTGTTCTTTACACTGCCAAGCTTACTTATCCTCACCTCCACCACATCCCCATCATTCAAGTACTTTGGGGGCTTCATACCCATGGCAACACCCGACGGCGTTCCAGTCAATACGACCGTACCGGCTTCCAACGTCGTTCCCTGGCTAAGGAAGCTGACAATCTCCTCCACGCCGAAAAGCAAGTCGCCCGTGCTTTCATGCTGTCGCTCCTCGCCGTTGACAAAGGTCTGCAGCAACAAGTCGCTAGCGTTGCCGACCACGGCTGGAGAGACCAGGACAGGGCTGAAGGGGGCGAACTTATCGAAGCCCTTGCTGAAGCACCACTGGGGCACGCCGCCAGCCTTGGCAGGGTCTCTTTGCCAGGCCCTTGCTGATACGTCATTTGCGGTGAGGTAGCCGGCGACATACTCCAGCGCCTTTTCCTTGGGGATGTTCTTCCCTGACTTTCCAATCACGAAGGCCTAATCTTGTTAGTGGCTTCTATCGAAAAGTCACTTTAGAGAATTGATACTCACGAGTTCACCCTCGTAATCAACGGTGCCATCCTGCGCAACCTTGGGGATCGGCACGTCCTCATTCCATGCAGCGACTGATGTTGCAGGCTTAATGAAGAGTGAGGGAAACGGAGGCGGTGTCCTGCCACCCTCCTTGACTGGGACTCAAGTCAGACGTCTGTAATAGCTTCGTTCCGGGGAAGGTAGTGGTACTGTGCTTAACATAGTTGAGGCCAATGCAGCGAATGATCGGAACGTCCTTTGGTGTGAGGAGCGGTCTCAGGGCCTTGACGTGCACCCGCTCGCCCTTGGCCAGGGATGAGACAGGGCTGGTACCATCGTAGATAGTAGCCCACAAGTCGCTCTTGTCAAGAAGCGAGGTAATCTCTGGTTCGTCTTGTACCTCAGGCTCGCCAAAGTGCTCGACGTCGTTGTCGTCAACGAAGCGAATCAGACGATTCCAAGACATTATGTTTGGTAGTGTGCCTGAGAATGGAAATCTGCTCAAAATAGTGAGTTCTTTTCTTGGTCACAATAAGCCGCATGAAGCTGTTCCCAGATTATCTCAGCTCCTTAAGTGTGTGCCTCCAAGATGTGCACCATCGAGCCCCTCAATTGAAGCAGCCTTGAATTGACCAATCAGGGATGGTTCCGTGGTTGGAACGCGGGGAGCTGTGTGATCCGTCGGAACTCGGGATTGCCTCAACTGCCAGATCGAGTCCCGTCCCGCGTGGCGCTTCCGCTGCATAGCTGCGGGCAAGGGGGGTCGACAGTCCGGGGATAACGGGGAAACGGGCCTTGATAACCTCCTTCGCGTGTCCCTCCAACGTCCAACTTCATCTTCAGAATCGCAGCTTTTGCCATAGGATACACGAATCGATCCGGGCCACTATTCACAGACGGTTACCAATACTTACTCAGGCACAGCCACAAGGCACTCAGACTATCATACGCCACGCACATCGAAGGATTTATTCACAATGGACTCCCCTCACGAGGACGACAACAGGGCCAAGGCCATGAACGACTACTTGGAAGAGTTGCCATCACAACACATGGAGCCTTTGTGGTCCAAGATGAACGTGATGGTCCCACCTACACCAGCACCCGTCGCTAAACCTCACATGTGGAAGTACGCCGACAGCCTCCCTCTTCTTCACAAGGCCGCAGAGATGGTTGGCGAACAGCAAGCGGAGAGGAGAGTGCTGATGCTGGTCAACCCCAATATGGGTAAGCGTCATTGTTTTACTCGTGACAACTTAAATCGTACTTGTACTCACATGGCATTGCAGAATCCCCTTACACAACAGACACCATCTATGGTGGACTTCAAATCGTCAACCCTGGTGAGACTGCTCCTGCGCACAGGCACATCGCGTTCGCACTCAGATTCATCATCGATGGCGAGGGCTTCACGGCTGTCGAGGGAAAGAAGATGCCTTTGAGACGCGGCGATGTTGTCGTGACGCCGACATGGCACTGGCATGACCATGGAAACGAGAGCGATGCGCCGGTTATCTGGCTCGATGCACTCAACCTTCCGCTCTTCAGATTCACACCGGTACACTTCGCAGAGCAGTACCATGAGAGCCGTTACCCAAGCGTGTAAGACTTTGTTCAGATGATCAATACTGAAGAGGTCACTGACAACTCATAGGTTCACGGAAACATGCGAGTGGAGACACCCATGGGACCAAGTTGAAGCAGAGCTCAAGGCCAAGGAAGGACCTTACGCCATCTACCACTACACAAGTCACGGCAAGCCCTTGTCACCCATTCTCGGCGCGCAGGCCGAGCGCATCGACGGTAACTATACGACAAAGGAGGTTCGCGAGCAGGCTTCGTTCCTCTACCACTGCTATGAGGGCCAAGGCCGAACCATCGTGGAGCCACCCACGGGACCCCGTGTGGTCTTCAAGTGGACTGCGCGAGACACATTTGCCGTCCCTGCCTGGTCCAAGATTCAGCATATCAACGAGGGTTCTACTACGGCGTACCTTGTTGCTGTTAGTGACAGGCCATTGCTCAGCAGCATTGGGCTGATCAAGCCGCAATCATGAGCGTTCGAGGGGAGGCAAGACCGTGGAAGTACCATCAGCAACAACCTGACAAGCTTGTAGATGTCCACTCGCTATTAGCAGGCCTAAGATGCTGTATCTACTCAGCATAGTAATAATGAAGACATTTGAATGTGACATAGTCAGCAAAGAGACTTGGGGAGAAAGATGATGTAGTTCGCTTGTCATAATCACCACCCCGTCATGTGTCAAAACATTGTCAGAATTCCATTTATCAATACCTCGGCGCGGAATCCGTTGGAAAAATTCGTGAGATAGTAGCTGCAGACGCAATTCTTTACTCAACACGAGCGCTTTCTGTTGAATTCAGTGACCCACAAAGAGCCGAAACCCACGAGGTGTTTATCCACAACAGCACGGGCAGCTCCCGGACCTCGGCTGGATTACTCCTTTCGTCAGATATTCGACTTCTCGCGATCGATTGTGATGTCTTATAATTGCCATAATCGTATGCAGATGTCAGAATTTTCGTGACCGTCTAGCTATGAACACTTATTCATTTTGCAACTTGCAGTGGCGGTACATGTATGATCTGCAACATGTTCTTCCCAATCACCAGTCCTCAAATCGGCAAAACCCCATCATGGATAATTGCGACAGCATTGACGATGATAATCTTCAGCTACATGTTCATTGTCAAACAATTACGTTACCGCCGGATGACGCAAATCGAAGCGCCTTTTGCTAAGTGTGAGAGGAAATTGTCGAGTATGACCGTCAAAGAGTCCCACGAGATCATCACTCAGCTACAAGAACTCGAGTTTCCATACGCCTTCTCCAAAGCTCGTAAACTGGCTCTCCTGAAAGTGAGTTACAGTCAATTTCTTTTAAGAAACTCATCCAGGCCAAAGAATGACCAAGTCAGACTGATGAGAGATCTCTACGTACTAGGCTGGAAGTATTCCGTCAATGTCCAGACTATTTGCCGTGACAGGCCAGAACAACAAACGCAATGCGGGAAAACGATCAGTCGATACGGAGATTCTTCTAAGAGAAGTGCAGTCCAAGGCAAGAGACTCGGATCGATATGCGATGTCTGTGGCAAGAATGAACTTTCTGTAAGTCACCAAGTCATGAAATTGATCAACAACTCGCGTCTATATGTTGCTGACAAGCGGCTTCCTCAGACATGCGCGATACCGTCGTGCGAACAAGATCACCGACCCCGACCTACTTCACACCCTCGGCGACGGCCTTGCTGAGATAATCAATGTGGTCAACAGAGACGAATGGCGCAAATTGACCAATGTCGAAGTATGTGCTCTTGGCATCTTCCACAAGAACTTGGGAGAAGATATGGGCATTCCCTTCGATCTTTTACCCTCGTGCAAAGAAGGCTGGAGGGACGGGTTGCACTTTGCAATAGAGCTCAGAGACTGGACTGTCCAATACGAACAGAAAGTCTGTAAGCCGGTGGCGACAAACGATCAATACGTCAGAGTCTATGTCGACTCGGCCCTGTCTTCTTTACCTAGTTTCTTCAGGACAGCATTAAGGAAGTCGCTCGGAGCCGACTTGGACGACGTGGTCCGATTAAGCCTCAAGTAAGTCAAGTCAATCAACCTCCAGACTACTGTAACTCTTGTAACTGATCCTTCAAAGTCTGGAATCTCCCGGACTCCTCCTCTCTACCTTTCTAGCACTAGTTCGCAACTCGAGGAAACTCGGGCTCCGTCACCTTGCCTTGCCGCGCCCCGACTCATCCGCATTCAAACTCGTCAACGACACCCCGAACCCCGAGACTAAGCTCTACAACTTTGGACGGAAAAGCCTTCAACCCTGGTACATGCGGCCAACAACGTGGTCGACCTGGGGTCCGGGTGCATGGCTGGTCAAAGCGGTCGGTGGAAAGGTTCCGGGCGAGCGGGGAAGCAGATATTTTCCCCAGGGATATGACTTGATGACCATTGGACCTGAGCCTCAGCGGGAGAAGGGGAGGGATGAGATGATGTCGGATATGGAGGTGATCAAGGCAAGGGGAGCGGTGACTTGTCCGTTTTCGCAAGCGAATGCGAATACGTTTGCTACTCCTCAACGCCTATGAGTGTGACCCTATATAGCAGGAGGCTCTCTTCACGGGGAGATGAGTGGGATATATGTTCCGCTATAGTTACCAAGCCAGATCAGGAAGCCAGCCTACTCAGGAGAGTCTTCCGTTTCATGCTATCCTACCGAAGATCTACCCTTCTTTCTTGCATGTGTTCACGTATATCGACCTTTCCGTCGTCTGTCCGCTAGATCTAGCCGGGGGAAGACGTAGGACCTCACTGGTCGTAATTTACCCATGAAATGAGATGGAGGAACAGCTCAAAACCAAGCGAGAGATGAGGCTGCAGAATTCTGTTAATTAAATGACTCGATATAACTTGAAGCCACGTGCGGCAATAGCGAGTAGTTCGCAAGTCAAGATAGGGTCCATGCTGCATCATGTCTGAACTCAAAAGCAGAAAATCTGCCGATATAGAGTTGCCAGCAGGGATAGAGCGACATCATTTCCCTCTAGGTGGACTATCAGCGGCTCCAAGACGGCATCTAGCAAAATTGGCCTCAAGTTCAAATGTCGCAGCATGGTGAGCTGGATTCTTATATTTACAAGCGTCAGATACGTGATCTAGAGTTGATATTGTTATCAAAATGCCTGGAATTGATATAACCTTTGACGAGAAGCAAGTGTTGATGTGATTGACATGTCTCAGTGTGCCTTACCAACATACCCACCCGCTTCAACCCATCTTGTTACCAGACATATTACCACACACCGTATGGAAGAACTTACGACTTGAGCAATCTCACATCTTTTGGTCTTGAATCTCAAATCTAGATAGCCAAGCCCATGATGTTTTCCGTTCTCCCCGCATGATTCGCAGTCTTAAGTGGGAAAATCGAGTCAGCGACGGGCTAAGCATCTTCAACGGCCCCTAACATCCCGCAACTTGCCTGCATATGAATGGACTTCTGGTTATGATCAGACAGAACAGCTTGTGAAAGCCTCTTTTCGATGCCTCTCAGGTGGTGGCCATGTCCATGCTCACAATCCTATTCGCTACACGTGCATCGGTCTCCAAACTCTGCTCAACATCTGTGACAACCCGTGGCCTATTGATCGGACTGTGATCGATCTCAAAGAACAGGGCAATCCTGTAGGGCGATCTTTCTATTTGGATTATGATGTGCTTGATGAAGCGCCGTTTGGCTGCTCATCCCGTATCCGTCGATAGTACAGGATCTTTCCATCCTCAACTTCCACCTCAGCTTCCCAAGTCAAGGTGGTTCTCGATGGAATCCGCGGCGTCATTACCGTCGTTATGGCGGACAAGAGTGTCCAAATCGTCGTCACAGCCTCGGTATTCCTCCTTCTGGCATGGCTGGCCGTCAGTCTCCGCGTGTATTGCCGCACAGCGTTGGTACGGTCAGTCGGTAGCGACGACAAGATTATGGTCTTCCTTCTGGTAAATGACAGTGACGCTGGTGGGAGCTTGAGAACGGTAATTTACTAACGAAAACAAGGTTATATTCACCGGATATCTAATGTTGCAGATTTACGGAGGAACTCATGGGATCGGTCGCCGTGATTCTGAGATCACTGCTGGGGAGAAGAGAACCATGCTTCTGGTAAGTCTACCACAAGATCCCCCATCTAGCCCCTTGCTAATGTAACTCCCAAGCTATGGTGGATCCTCGAGCTCCTCAACGTTGTCTCAACATGTCTCCTCAAGATCTCCGTTGGCTATTTCCTCCTCCGAGTTGCACTCGATCGGCCGCACATCTGGATAATTCGAGCTCTCATAGTAGGCACAGTTGTCTTCGGAACGACATACCTCTTCATGGTAGCTTTCCAGTGCAGACCAGTGCCAACGTACTGGGAAGAAGGGCCCAGAACACCCGGAAAATGCTGGCCCTCGCGGGTTATCTACATCATGACGATTGCGGCGACGGTCATCAATACGAGCGCTGACTTCATTTTCGGTGCTTTGCCATGGTTCATCGTCAGATCCATGAATCTTCCGATCGGGACCAAGATCGTGATAGTGTGCATCTTGGGGCTAGCTGCTGTGTAAGTGTGGAAACAGGCAGGCCGCAGACATACTGGCTCGACAGCGGGGCAAAGCTGACAGTTTTGGTTATAGAGGAAGCACTGCGACTATTGTTAGAGCGTTCTATATCCCGACGTTACTGGACGGCGAGGATTTTCTTTGTAAGCCCATTATCTAGCCGCGCCGCAAACTGTTCCTCTATACTAATGCACCTCCTCACCTTGCAGACGAAACCTCCAACTTTGCAATATGGAGCACAGTAGAGCCGGGGATCGGCATCATAGCAGCCTCGATAGCAACGTTGCGACCTCTGTATCAAATGGTGCTTACCAAGATGGGTCGCTCGTCGGTTTACCGTCAACGAAGAGACAGGTTGGAAAGACAACAGGCTCGCAGGAACGAGACGAGTCGGATGGTGCGACAGGCACACAACCTCGACCCAGAGGATGGGCTGGCCGATTCGGATATCACCTCGCCACACGGGATTCTTGAGATCAATCCTCCCTCTCACCAGATCAGCAAACAGACAGAGTCGACAGTCAAGAAGAGCTCGTCTGGGATTGGATCTCCGCAACTGAGAATGAGCTTGTTCGATGTGGATGTTCCAACGTCACGATTGAGACTGAGCGATGATATTCGGCGGACGATGGATAGGCCTCCTGAGGATTGGTTATCGAGGGTCAAGGACTGACAAGAGACAGTTGTCCTTGATGTGTTTGAAGAGTCTGACTGCACGATCTATGGTGTACGATTTGGAATAGCATCAGCATAGCATAAGGGAGATGTACCCAGGAAAGTCGCTCTTGGCGAATGGAACGAACCATCGGAGCATGACCATTGACACAGTACAACACGTAAAATATTGAACAGTGAATACCGTTATGTTAACTAAAGCTCTAGTTCAGCCCCAGTCTTGTGGCGTGTCATCAGTAGACGTACGCCCTTATTCCCCATCAAGCCTCCTGCCTCGTTGTTGCGACGGTAGCACCGCATTGCACATTTCACGCCAGAAGGCCACCAAACACTGTCATTCCAGGATTTGTGCTCTTTGATGGTGTATTGTGACTCTCTGACTAGTACTATTGAGACTCGTAAGGGTCCTCGGCCATGTTCAAGTCACGCATTGCTCTTTACGACAGCAAATCGAGAGACATGTAAGTCAAGGCCCGGCTGTCGGTATGCCTCCTCGACCAACAACCAGGAAGTGGCTCCCCCTTACTTTTCTGAACCTGAACTTGTGTGGTCTCTTGGGCCATGGTATCTCAGGCAAAACCCTCAGCAACCTCAGCCTCGGGAACGGAGCTTCCACCATCACCCCTTGATCCTCAGCTCCAGGCTCAGACCAAACTTCCTCCATCCCATCGAAAAAGTCCATCTGGTCAACCCTGTAAAGCACCTCCCCCTTCGATACATCAAAGCTCCCCTCAAACCCTCCATCATCCAAGTCTCACAATCTCACCCCCAACACCCTCACCCCGCCAAAGAACCCATTCACCAACCCAAACACAAGGCCCCACGGCCCCTTGGTCCCATCCCTCAGCCCCAAATCGAACCTCGCGTAACGCCCGTCGACAAACACACTCTGCACCCGTTCACGCGTCTCCCTCGGCATAGCCCATTCATGGTCACTGTTGACATGCCCCCTCCCACGCTCACCACACCTACACCTACCCGCGATAACCGGCCCGGCCAGCCTGTAGTCCTCCGCCCTTCTCCACGTGGTGGGGAGCATGGACCCATCCCACACGAGCTCCACAGCGTCCCGAGCGGGGCTGAACGGAAAGGTCCGCGGGTCCGGCGCGCCGAAGGCCGTGGTCGCCAGCGCCCTGGTTTCCCGGCTGACGGCGTAGAGTGGTATGGCGGCCCAGGACCTGATTCGGGGGAGGAGGAAGTGCGCTTGGGGCCCGTTCCGCCAGTCGAGGTCGGTTTTGACCCAGCCCTCGATGGTGATGGGGTCGACCGCCGTGAGGAGGATGCTATCCCGAAGTTCTTTCGGCAGTTGGGTGAACAGGGTGAACGTTGTGGGGTTTGCTGGGTCCGGCTCTGGACGACGGGCTGGAAGCTTGTTATTCTCGTCTTCTTCGTCTGATGAGGAGGAATCCACCAAGATGCACACTCTCCCGCCGTCGCGAACGCGTCCTGGGTGTCTAGGGTGGCACCGCATGTGTTTCCGCGCCTCCAAAACCACATCCGACCACCTCTCCCGGTTAGACGCGTCGACGACAATCGTGAGCTCGTCCTTGATCTCAGGTTCGTCTTCTTCGTCGGTGAACAACAACTCTTCCTCATCATCGTCCCCACTTCCCGAACCCAAACCATTTTGAGAACCGCTAGATGCCGACGGGATGATGTGCGCCATCGCGAGGAAGAACTCGAGTCATTCGTCGTTGCGGTGGCTTGCTTACAAAGAGGCTATATTCGTCCTTGCGATACTTTTGGCGCTGACGAGCGAAACGACTTTCGGACGTGGCTCCGCGATACTTTCTTCCTTCGTTTGACTTAGTTCAACGGTTGTTTTATTTTCTAGTAGTCCGGCTGCAAATCACGGATATATGACGATGAAGGGTTTGCTGCCTGCTACACCAGGCAGGAGATTCGCGATGTTCGACTCATGTGGGAAGGATTCTGTGGGTCAGAAGGATCATGCTATCGAACCTTGACGAGGGATGCCTATCCCCTGCGAGCAAAAGTTCCCTACTCCGTAACAAGTACGGATATCCCATGATGAGATACGATGCTTTAGACAAACGAAAAACCTCACGATCTTTCACTCTTCCAGAATGGGAATCTTATTAACGTCCTGGCGCCGTTGACGATGGGGTGTGGATTCAGGAAAAAGCCACTCATCAGCCACAAGCCATACCAAGTTTCATCTGCCCACGCTCGAGGCGTCCAGACAGCGAAAAAAAACAACCAACGAAGCGTCTTCGGCAAATGTTGGCGTTATTGCTTGTCTTCCCACCAACAGAACTTGGCCTCCTCGCTTAATCCAAGACACTACGTCAAGGGCCTTTCACACGCTTCTCTTATCTTTTCTTCTTTTCTAGAGTGCGTGAGCGACAGTGCATTCAGGTGAGAGTCGCTGGAAGGGGCCCCGGTTAAGGCTGCATGCAGGACGGGAGTCACTGCGTCTGTTAACCAGTCTCTTGGGTTCGAAGGGGGTCCAGACTGCCGGGGCAAAAGATTCTTCTTGAGGTCTGGAACTTTTCCCTTGGGCCTCTTCACGAGCTTGAACAACTCTCATGCGAGTTCACAGAGAGCCGCGGTCTTGGCATTCGGGGAAAAATACACAACAAAAAAACATGGAAAGCATGTTTACCTAGAATCAAACACCGGCGGCATCTGTTCACCGAGCCCGGGAAAACACAGTAGTCGCGGCGCCGAACCCAACCGCGCCTTCTAGAGTCGGCCGCGAAAGGACGAAGGACGAGCCGCGAGCATACAATGTGTCCGTTTCACACGCCCTCGACTCCTCAAGCTCCCCATGAGCGATGGTCCTCCTCCCATCCCATCCATCCAAACCCCCTTCGCAACCCCACATAGTTCGGCATAACCGTTGCTGTTCCATCCTCTGTTTCCTCAGACGGGAGAGAGCGTGGCGAAGCGAACTCCACAGGGAATGCACTCCAAGACGAGAGAGAATCCTAGATCCTGATCAGCTGGTCTTTTCGATACAGGTACCCGTGTCGCAGGATCTCGAGCTTCACATAGATCGGGATGGTTCTTGGCGTTGGACTGGTTGAAAACGCGCGGTTCGAGTGGGATACTCTGGCTGTTTCTGAGAAGGGGGAAGGCTCAACCTCTGAGGACATGAGCCTAGGGAAATACAGTTGTGCACTTTGAGCTAGGTTAAAGTAATCGGGTGGAATCACATAATACCGCCCGGCCGAGTGGGATGCCTTACTTCACCTAGTAGCACGCCTAACCAACCAACACGGTAGTGAGTGTACCGAACCCATAACCTCTTTTTCAAAAAGACACGAATAGAGAAACCCAAGCCTCAGTCCCACCCACGCAAAGAAAAGAACCAAGATGTGATAAAATTAGCGATTATTCCTTGTCCCTCTGTACACGTGTGTCTCTCCACCGCTCCAAAGCCCCCATAATCTGGTCTGGTCTCTTCCTCGTCGTGCACGTATGTAATGCAAGGCCAGGTAGTCTGGGGTAGCTTGCCTTGCTCGACCAAAAAAAAAAGTGAGACAACACTCCCCCTTCCCGAAAAACCCCCCCAATCTCAAGGCTGCATAGCGCATAGAAAAGAAGTGAGAACGGCCTAAGAGAAATGAGCCTATCATACCGTCGGAGATTGAGGCTGAACGGCGCGCCCGGTGCCCTCTGGGGCTGGGCCCGCCGCCTTCCTTTTCTTCACCCTTCAGCAGTTCAGCTGGTGGTCCATGGTCTCTGGACCATGGTCCATACTCCCATGGGCAATGGTGAGGGAAATCCCTCAGACCTTTTCGGCCGTGATTCAGCCCCCCAATTCCCCCCTCACTGCGCTCCCACGGCTCCCTACCTTACCCCTTCCCGCGAGGAGCGGGCGTGGGACGTGGGAGTGTGAGTAAGCGTGAACGCGTGGGCGTGGGTTGAAGCAGACACAAGCGGACGAGGAACACGAACATGTAAGACGGATGAGATGATGGATGAGTTCTAAAAAATTCTTGTTGTGGATTTCCGAAAAATCCAAAAGTATATACACTAAAGTGAATTGGTGCGGAAGCTAATCCGCTGGGTATCCCGTTGTGAATCGAATGCTGCCTTTTTCCCAGTCTCTCCCTCCCAGTCTCCCATGAATGATGATGAAAATGTGTTCTCCAATCCAATGCGCTTTGACCGGCTGATACAGTCGGCCGTCTCCCCCAGTGAAATGTCTTGTACTCCGATGCAGTCTGTTGACCTGTCCAGCGTCCAACGTGAAAAGTAGAAAGAGAAAAGAAAAGAAAATGCTCGTAAAAGTCGTCAAGCAGGCCGTAAAAATCTCTATGCAGCCACAACCTCGGGCCTCAAATGCTGGTTTACCGCCATCGAAGACGAAGAAACCGTCGGTAGCGCAGGGCGTCTCAATCTCAGCTCGACAAAGTGCCCAACAACACTGCGCACCTGCTCCTCAAAACCCTGCAGCTTAAAGCCAAACACCTCCTCGGAAGCAGAGGCGTCAAAGTCGATGTTGACCGTGCCTACCGAGCCGCTGCTGACAATCAGCTTCCTCTCGACGGCCTCGGGGAAGCTCCGCTTGGCGATGAGCTTCGCATCGTTCCAGCGGGACTTGGTGCTGAGGATGTAGCTCTTGTTGCCCGGGACGGTGGGTAGAAGAGCCTGGACGTGTGCGCGGGCGACGTCGTCGACGTGGACAGTTGCGCCGGGGTAGCTGCAGCCCATCTTCTTGCCGCGGAGGGTGGCGAGGATGACGGCGTTAGTGCCCTTCATCGCCTCGCTTGCGGTGGTCGCGATATCGTTGCGGCCGATGACGAAGGAAGGGTGCAAGTGAATGACCTCGAAGCGGGGCTGCTCTCTCGCAATCCACGCCTCGGCACCCTTGAGAGCGGCCACCTTGGAGGCGGCGTAGGCGGCGAACTCGCTCTCATACGGCTCAGGCTTGAAGCCGGTCCTCTCCGTGGGCTGGACAGCCTCCTTGCGCTCGCGACCCTCGAGGTGGTCTACTGAAGTGAGAGCAACGACTGAGCTAGTGATGACGACCCTGCGAACAGTGCCCGCACGCTTGGCGGCCTCGAGCATACCGAGGGTGCCGCGGACGGCGGGCTGGATGAAGTACTCCTGGTGCAGATCGCGAGGTACCGAGTCGGCGGTCGCAAGTGGTGAAGCAACGTGAATGACTGCAGAGAC